GACGAATGCAGGCGAGAGCCAATGAGCGTTCGATTATCCTGCCGTAAAACCTGTCGTTTGAAGCGGCAACATTTGAATTTGTAAAGAGCGCGTCAGTCAGCGCGGGCTTTGCTGCTCACGGTCACTGGACTTGCTGCTCGGGATGGAGAAGCAAGCAGATAGCCGAAAAAAGGCTTGGATTTGGGTCTGTTCTTCACAGTCCTATGGATTCGGAAGATTTGGATTACAGAGCACTAATAAAATTGTTTCATTTCCTAATTATGTTGCGTTTTTGGTGTATTTTATAGTTCTATTGTTAGTCACAGCATGTCGGAGAAAACGCCTTTTGTGGCCTATGGCAATCAAAGTAAACATTATGTGACAAGTAAAGGTTAAACGATTGCAGAAATGTTATTTATTTTAAGGTTTACAGTGAAGTCGTGTTTAACACGTAGGCATATTCTTGGAAACGAGCTGGCAGCAGAAATCACAAGAAAACGAAATGTTATCATTTCATAAGTAAATAAGTAAACAATTTAATAATGTAATTGAAAACAAGGTAATTCATATGACAACTAAAAACTAATAAAATGAATGCCGCGATTTCAATATTCATAAGGATTCATTTTTAGGTGTCAATACGTCAGTTTTGTACGTTTAAATGCTGAAAATACGTCAGTATTGTACGTTTTGGTGCCTGTAAAAACGTACGTAAATGTACGTTTTATAGAACTACATTTTACGTAAAATACATACGAATTATCATGAGATCACGTTGGACACTGATAGTGACATGCTGGGTTTATTTCAGAGCCCTGTACAGTGACGGTGGAGGAAATGGAAAGAAGAGGTTTAGAGTTGGCCTATGCTAATCGACAAAAGATGTTCGCACCACATGATGATCACATCACCTTAATGTGTAAGAGGGGCAAAGTTTCAGGAGGTGTTCCCCTAAGACAAAAGTGTAATGATGGAGAGATGACTTTACCTGTGTGTGAGTGACAGTGGGAATAAAGAATAAGTGCAGCATCAACTGTACTATGTAAAAACAAATGGCGTGAATCAAAATAAAACATTTTTCCCAAATCATTTTATATGTTTTGGATTTCTTGCAAGAAAAAACAAACGAACAAAAACCTAAATAAATACTAAATGTAAAATTCTCAATATGTGCATGTATGAAAATTATGTTAACCATTTTAACTCTACATTTTTCCGTGATACTGCAAGTCAGTGCACTCATTGAACAGCCCAATGAAACATTTATAATGTGAATCAGTTACTAATTTATAGTTTAGAGAGTGAAACTGGAATGAAACAGCTCTGGTCAGATGAGTATTTACACCAGCCATGTAAAATTTTTCAAACCCTGTAGTAGCTATATGTTGTTCACAGATGTTACCAATGGAATCAAATAGATTAAATTGCACAACTTTAGCTAATATTAGCACACAAACAAGGACAAAGCAACAGAGTCATCCGGGCACAACAGCCCTGTTTTTTTATTATCAAGTCCAGTTTTGTGGGGCGGAGGGAAGGAGACTTCACAAATTCACATCACAAATGCTAAATTGTGTTTATAACTACATCTTTTGGAAAACAGGTCATCGGAGTTTTTCATCAGCACTAATTTATGTTTAATGGTAAAGAAATCTTTGCATTGATTCGTGTTAAATAAGGAAAGTGAATCAATCTTTAAATACAAAATATTTGGTAGGTGATTCAGTCGATAAACTGTAAACTGCACTAAGCCATCTGCTATGTTTTACAGCTTAAAATTAAATATTGTCAAATATTTCTCTTTCTTCAATTAATGATCATGGATGTCTCAACAAAAGGTAACACAATGAAACAAATTAGCTAAAGCAGATTTAAACATCAAGAAATCTTATTCAAATAAATTGTGTAAAACAACTGATAATTTATAATGTTTGTCTGAATACAGTGGTTGTTGCTTGTTTTCCATTAAAGCATGGAGGGCTGTGCGATTTGGGGGAAAATATCTAATTGTGATTTTTTTTGACAGATATTGCGATTGCGATTTTAAATTTGCAAAGTCAAGCTTCAGCTCAATATTGTCAATAATGTGCAGCACAGTATGGGTATCATTACACTGCTAAAAAAAAAAACAATAGAAACCATCACAGAAATTCATATAGTTTCCATTAAACCCTTACAAAATTCCTTTTTGTTTTGGCTGCCCACTGCTGCGGGTGTGTGTTCACGGTGTGTGTGTTCACTGCTGTGTGTGTGAACTTTGGATGGGATAAATGCAGAGCACTAATTCCGAGTATGGGTCACCATTCTTGACCACGTCACATCACTTTTTTTTTTCTTTTTTTTTTTTTTTATAGTGGTGGGCGTTTACGCAGTTGGCTAGAGCAGTGCTGATTGGGGAGAACGGAGGAGCACTCACTCTATTGGTTAGCAAGGCTGATTGCGATTCGATTTCGATTAATCGCACAGCCCTAGCATGTACCATTAAAATCCAAATGTGGGTCTAAACCTGAAGTAAAATGTAAGAGTATCTGATTTTATTAGTAGTATAAAAAAATAAAAATACAACTTTGTTTCTTTTCTACAGAAGTTACCTGTGAGAGTGAACAGCTCATCAATGTTGACATTGTAGTTGGAAATCCAGGTATTGCTCCACCTTATAAACCTGGACATATTTTAGTTTTTCGATGCACAGATGTGAACCTGAAGATGCACGGCCAACGAGCAATTGAATTATATTCTTACTCTATCAGATAATTCTAAATAATGTGAATGGACAGAGATGCAGGGGCGGATCTAGAAAATAATTGTTAGGGTGGCAAAGGCGTGGCATGGGGTCTATGAGGGGTGGCAACACCAAAGCAAGCCCCCATGCATAGTTTTGGGGGATTTATGGTCTGACATACACAGTTGTTCACAAATATTGTATTACCATTAAGTAATCATCTATACTGTTTAAAATGAAAAATAAATAACATTTCAATATCCATCATGGCACCAAGTCAATGCACAATATAAAAAACTTCAACAGGTTATAAATATTTCTGAGCTTGTATCACTAAAGAAGACATGTGGATCTATTAAAATGACATAGGCTACTTAGATAATCACGTTTAGTGCAAGTTTAAGAGCAACAAAAACTTTTGAATTTCCTAACATTAGAAAGAAATAATATCAAATAATATTTGTTGACAATAATATCAAAGCACTGAAACTGGATCAGTTTTGAAAACAATGTTTGATTTTCTGTTATTAACAGAGGTGGGAATGTCTGTAATCACCCAGAACAAACTCTATCAACCATATACTCTAGCAACACCCCAGCAACTGCATAGCAAGAGCCTAGCCTAGCAACCACCCAGAATATCCTAGCAACCAACTAGCAACACTTTAGCAAACATCTAGAACATCTAACTGACCAAACCATTTATGTTTTTTAAACAAGACTTTAAGACAAGCCAGCCAAATCTAGTTATTACAGTTTTTCTTACAGGATTTTTTTTCCCAACTGCTTGCACGCATTTTCAAAACTTTGCCATTTTTTTTTAAAACTTTACACCCAAATGCAAGAATTGCACACACAAAATGCAAAATGCCTCACATCTCTTGCAAAATGAAGCACTGCATTCAAAATATCTCAAACACATCTCAAAAGCAAACATTTGTAAATACCTTTGCCATAATATTAATTTCTGTTAGATTTTTGTGTGTTACATAGAGAATTGTGTGTTGTGTTTTGCAAAAAGTGTTTTATGAAATTGAAAACGGAGTCAAAGGCCAAGAGTTAGTGTATGGTTTTGCAGATTTGGTGTGTGGTTCTGGTGTTTGAGTGTCAGGTTTCAGAAACTGTGTGACAAGTAAATGTCACACAAAAACAACTGTAAATGCTTACACGCAATTCAAATACACAGATGACTTTCCTGCCCAGTGAACACTGAGATCAATAACTCTGTAACAAAAAACTAGGATTCAGGAATTATTTTTGCAGCTCAATGTCTATTACAGTATACATAAATTAAATTACAGATACAGATGTATAATTCAGCAATGAACTTTTGGGGAAAAAATCATTTTCATTTTACTACTGTAAAGTAATCTTGCAGTAGATGAGAAGCACTAGAAAAGTTCACATACCAAAGAATTGTACGAACTTGGTATGCACCACAATACAGTACAGTAAAAAATGTAATAAAAAAAAGTAAATTTAGCATCCTCTGCACATTTGGCCAAATTTCATTACAGTATACAGTACTATAGCAGTTTCTTGGTCTCCTGACACAAGACTAGCTATATCTCTAGGCAGTCATTTCTCAGTTCTGCAAAAATGCAGTAAGGCCTACACATAAAAAATGGTTACAAATAAAATTTGACAGTCACACGCTTGAAGGTGTACAACGTGCTACAGTTTACTGTACATATAGAATAGTGAAATTTCCATTAATGTACTGGTACTGAACTGTAATTATACTCTATGTGTAAGTGTAAAACCCCTGTTGATGGTTTGCTCAGCTCGAGCTCTCTCCGTTGTTAGCATGCAGAGATTCTGATTGGTGTGTCATCAATTTTGCTACCTAATGTTTAACTTAACTTAGCTTAACTTTTTGAGAAATGTGTCTTTGTTTTGAAAACTGAATTATTGGCGTGGGGAAAAAAGTGGCAACTAAAATCAGTTATATTAACAATCGAGAAAACTGCAATACGACTAGATTATTACCTAACTCTGCTATTAGTTTCCGTGATCGGCATCTTCTTATTGATTTCATGTTATTGTTACGGCTTATATTCATTATGAAAGTGGAGCGAGCGTTCAGAGAATCGGACCACCAAACAATTACGCAATGAATCTCAGACATATCCGGACGGGATTAGATTTCTCAGAGGATTTCTGAGTTACCTGAAAAGCAGTAATTATCTGATTCATGAACAAATGTAAAAACAATTCGTTAGTGAACACTATGGCTTTGTGGTTTTGACTCAAAAAGTTCCGGTTCATAAGTCATTTGTTAATGAAGCCGACTACACTGGCACGCTGCGTGCGTGTGCAACCATCGTGCAGTTTATTAAAAGACGTGTTTTTTGCCATTATTTTGCGTTACTCCGTCATCGCCGCGGCTTACATTTATATTTTATTCTGTGATCATTCTGGGGTGGCAGGTGTGGTGGCACATCTTTTTCTTAGGGTGGCAGTTGCCACCCCGGTAGATCCGCCCCTGCAGAGATGGATGACCCTGCAATGACTAGTATTTCTTCTTTCTCTAGATGTAACATGTCCTCTAAACACAACAGAGAACATTATTAAACCAAATTAAACGATTTCCTGATCTTGAGGGTCCAGCCAAACCTGGATATAATTTAACATTTTCATGCAATGGACAAGGACTGATTTTAAAAGGACAGAGAGAAATCACCTGCCTGTCAAGTGGAGATTGGAGCAGCCCTTTTCCTAAATGCAAAAGTAAGGACATACAAAGTAAAAAACTTTTGATTGGTTAAGTTAAGTTTTAATGTGAAGGAACCAGCTTTTCTGTTCTTTAGAGGCAGCATGTGTTGTAAACCTCCCAGGGAATATGATCATAGAGTCTGAGGTTTCAATCATACCTGGACACACATTAAAACTTTCATGTAATGGACAAGGTTTGATTTTTAAAGGACAGAGCAAAATCACCTGTTAGTCAAATAGAGAATGGAGCAGCCCATTTCCAAAATGTGAAGGTAAGGCCACAGAGGGAAACCTGTAACTAAAAAATTATATAAAGAAATCAGCTTACCTTCTTAAGCATTTTATTAAAGGCCTCTCACAGCGCATTGCATTGATAATGTATTTTATAGTTTAACACCATAGAAAATACATCGAGGCTCATTAATGAAACACTGGCTTTCAGTTTACAGTTAATACTGTTTAAAATGAATAAAAATCAAGAAAAATGTATTTGCCTTCAGTGAGAACTGAATGTGGGCCACCACCACACCAGGAAAATGCACAGTAGAAATGCCAAAAAAGGAATATAGTTATGGGGAGAAAGTCAAATACATGTGCTATAATAAATTTACAATGGAAGGCTCCCCCTACTTGACCTGTGTGCAAGGCGAAT